ATTTGTGGTATTAGCTTCAATAGCCAAGTCAGAAACTGGGGAGAAGGAAAAAAGCTTTCAGGATATGACTAAAACATTAAGGGTGAGAACACCAACTAATGGAAAGTGCAGGTCATGAGATGGTTTTTAAAAAACAGATTTTAGAATTAGTATCACAACCTCTTGCTGATTCTTTTTTGTTTTTTATTTTGTTTTGTTTTGTTTTGTGTTTTGAGATGGGGGTCTCACTATGTAGTTGAGACTGACCTGGAACTCACTATGTAGCCCAGGCTGGTCTCAAACTCACAGAGATACTCCTGCCTCAGCCTCCCGAATGCTGGGATTACAGGTATGTGCCACTACGCCCAGCTTGCCAGTTCTTTATTAGAAGCAGAACAATGTTTGAGGAAGAGCTTGCTTTAACATAATGACTTATATTCTGGTTTCATATTGGTGCATTACTGTTCGATTTTCAGAAAAACCTACAAGTAATTTTTAAAAAATTATAGCCAAGTTGATCACATGCACATTTTATTTCATAAGATTGTTCCTTTATGAACCTTTTGCCACCTTTGCCACCTACTTGAACATTTAGTTTTGCCTCTATTTGTTCCCATTCTGGACAAATCTAATCATTTCACTTTAGGGCAAAACTTTTATTCTCCCATGAAGATTACCTGACATACTAAAAAATTCTTTACTTTTTTTGTTTTGTTTTGTTTTTGGTACCAGGGATTGAACTCGGGTCCTTGTGCTTGCAAGGCAGGCCACCAAACCACTGAGCTGAATCCCCAGCCCCTTAAAAAACTTTTAATGTTCCCCATCAAAAAATAAATCCTCAAGAGTTATACTTTTTTGTATCTTTGTCCCCTACTTGCTATTTCCTTTCTGCCTTTTAAAAATGTCCTTCCTTAAATAGCATTGTAAAAACTCATGAAGAAAAATCTCTAAATTTAGAGAAAAACATTCTTTTTTAAATAAAGAATAAATTTTATCTCTTTCTTATAGTTTTCTCAAAACATAGCTATGTTTTCTTATATTTTTCCCATGTAAGATTAATATATTAATTAGAGTTTAAACTCCTATGCAACCTACTTTTTAGAGAAGGCTCAGTAATAAGTAATTCCAACATTCATGAAAGCATATTTTATAATTTCTATATGATTTTTATCATTAAAAATTTTTTAAATGTTGAATGGAACTAACATATTCAAATGTATACACACACACATATATCTTTTCCAAATAATTTGAGAAACCAAGAGTACTTGAATTTCTATTTAGTAATTAGCATTTCACTGTTTTACTTAGGAATATCTCAAACATTTTATGTGTATCAATTACTTAACAGAACTTTAAAATTACAAAATTAATGAAAGTTCATTTATAAACATTTATTTTGTTTGTAGTTCCCTAATTTTATTTTTAAAAATTTTATCAAGGGCCGGGGATTTACCTCAGTGGTTCTGCTGCCTGCCTCACAAGCACAAGGACCTGAGTTTGATCCCCGGTACCTCCCAAAAATTATCTAAATTACTTACCAAACTAAGATGTTAGAATAGACAAGCATGGTCATTGTTTTAAGTCACTTCCCTGTCAAAGCAAAAACTCTAAAGTTCAAATGCTGTGCTTGGTGCTCAGGAAGCAGCAGACATGGCACTGCGCTCTCATCTGTGTTTGTTCTTAGTCAAATGATACATTTATGCTCCTAAACATCTGACATAGATTAAAATAATGCTGCCTGGCCAGCAAACATGATGCTAGCAATTATGAAGACGTCTTCATTTTTGTTCTACCAACAAATTTTAAACCAACTTATTTAGGAAAAGTTAAATCATATGAACTAAAAAGTATTTTGGGTTAATTACAATCTTAACACTTTTAATTTATATGAATGTTCATTTATCTGTAAACCAATTTGAATACAATTCTTAAGTTTTTTACTGTTGGACACAAAATACATCACGTACACATATATAACACACATAAACACATATGCCTAAGGATTTTATAGTTTTCTAGACATGAGACAAAAAAAAAAGAAAAGCAATATAAACTCACTTGTTTGTATAACAACTATATAACACACATAAACACATATGCCTAAGGATTTTATAGTTTTCTAGACATGAGACAAAAAAAAAGAAAAGCAATATAAACTCACTTGTTTGTATAACAACTGTTGAATCCAAATTATATGTCTCACAAAATGGGAAAATTAAGGTCTTCTGTTCCTATGTCTTAACATGAAAAATTTCGTTTGTCTTGCTCCATAGTCTTTTAAATGATTGTGTACAAAAGTTTTGGTTAAAGCAGTTCCCATAATAAGACAGGGACCACCACGGTGGTGGGGCAGAAGGTTGAACTGACAGATCCCGAGGCGCAGCAGCACGGCGTGTTTTGACAGACTCGTCATGAGACCACAAAAGCAGAATATTTGTGTGAAATGAGAAATTGTAACCAAGAAAACCTAAATAAGCCCTCTAGCTTTACTTGCTCTCAGGCCACTTAAAAATCACTGAATTTGGAAGTCACACAGCTGGGAAATACTCTGTTAGTTTCTTACTCGCTTAGTTACAGATAATACCTCTAAGGTGGGGTTTGATAACAGTTGCCTAGTTTATTTCCCAGGGACCCAAAGGCTACTTTTGCTGAGAACATGGACCCTTCACTTGAGCCTACAAAAATCTTCTGATGAGCCAGGAGTGGTGGTTTGTGCCTGCAGTCCTAGTACTTGGGAGGCTGAGGCATCAGGTATTCGAGGCCAACCTAGGCTACATAGTTCAAGGCCAGTCTGAACTACATAGTGAGACTATCTCAAAGTGCTTCCCCCAGAAAATATTCAAAATCTCATGAGTGACCAAAATGGGATAAAACGTTGGCATCTCTGTCTTCATATTGTGTCTGCCCCCTTTGCTATCTTAACCCTTAGGTCAGATTCTACTCAGTTCTGCATTAAGACATGTTGATCTTTTGAAGGTGTTTATTTCAAGATGAAGTACAGTGGTACCCCAGTTCACAAATGCTTTCGTTTGCAAACAATTTAGTTTCCAAACAGAAATATTTGACAAAATTATGTTTTTGTTTGCCAACTCTGCATTGGGTGACAAATATGACCATGGCCATCTTTCCCACACAATCACAAACTTGGCTATGTTTTACCAAGAAAGAAGGCCACTTGTGTTATTTTGGACTCTGTGAGGAATTATATAGATGGCATTTATGTTGCAGTGGTTTATGATGGGAAAGACAAAGAAGGGCAACAAATAAAAACTACAACATGTCTGAGATCCTCTGCAGAGAATGTTGAAAAATCCATACTTATATTGATGGTATCAACAAAAGAGATGTCCTAGAAGAATAGGACTCTATGAGAAGGTGGCTTCACGGGCACTTTGAGATAAAAAACAAGTTGCTTTTAGAATTCCATGAATCACCAGATCCAGAAAGAAGAAACAAATTTTCTGGGAAAAGTGTTGCTTCAAAACTTAAGTCTTAGAAAGGCTTTACCGTCAGTGTGGTTCCCAAATGGTTTGACTGCCGGCCTGCTGATGACAGAGGCTGGGAGGAAATTGCAAGAATGTGCGCATCTACAGAACCCACTTTGGCTGTCTGTGGGTCTCCATCAGAGCGTGAGAGGTGGCTGTCTCCATCAGTGCAGTGTGCAGCATTGTCCCTCACATCCAGTTGCTTCCTGAATTTAGTAAGAAGTGTAGATAAAGCCTTGTGGATTGAACATTGGATAAAATGGAATTTATATAAAAGCCAATATGCATTTGATTTTGGGCAAACACACATTGTTTTTCAGTGTTCGTGCAGGAACTACTGAAAAGGTAAGCAGAGTTTATGCTGTACTTTACACATCCCATGAACTAATATCACTTCCTGACAACTGTTAGGACTGTAATTTGCTATTATTTTTATAATTCGGATGTCTGTATCCTTAACATTAATTTGCAGCATATTTCATTACAGTTGTTCTTTTCAGTGTTTGACAGCTTCAGTGTTTGACAACTTCAACGACTTGACAGCTCCAAACTCTTACCCCTGAAGTGTTTAGCATCTCACTGTATAATACTTGGCTCTTTTCTTAGTTTCCGTGAGTCAGTGAAGGAGATTGCATTCAAGTATAAAGATGTTCAAGGAAAAGGCAAGAAGTGCCACAGGAAAAAGCTCTGTTTACTGTGTTCTTTTATTGTGTTGCATTATGAGCTCATTTCACTTCATATTTGCAAAATAATTAACATTTGCTGTTTATTGAAATAACTGAAATTTGCATATGCTGTGGTCTATACAAAAGAATCAGGTAGAAAATGTCAAACTGAAGTTTAAATCAAAATTGTGAATGTAATTCATTGCATCAGAACTTTCTTTCTTTCTTTCTTTCTTTCTTTTTTTTTTTTTTTTTTTTTTTTG